GACAGGGATTTATGAGATAAGATCACTAATTAATGTAGAAGGAAAATTTGTTAACCAAACCCAGGTGGATTGCCCCAAACGGTGAAACCGGAGCTTAGGAAGAAAACCCGACTATCTAAATGATCAAATATTTTAGGAAATTCATATAATTCCTATAGCGTCCGCTAAGTTCCACTGCTTCGAGCTGCTAAACAATTTGTGTAACACGATCTCAGTCGATAGGAATGGTTTTAATTGAGAGCAAGTGTATTCCAGTATTCTATACCGAAGATTTCCGCACCGGTAACGGTGTCACTTTCCCTTTAATGCAAATTTGCATCTATAATGACGTCATTTCAGTCTATGCGTACTCGATAGTATAAAGTGTTAAAATTGGGCCAATTTGGCATAAAAGGTTTATTTTGACTTGACTTGTAACGATGGCATCTGTGACCTTCGACAGCGTTGGAGGTAGAGTTATGGGTGCTGGCTCGAGATTTTCGCCATACTTTCTTAGCAGTGCGGTGGTTGTTTCAGGTTTTAACACATAAGGAAACCGAATGTTATGCAAAACCTTTTGTAGTTAATGTACTAAACTATTAACGTACTAAACTGTTAACTGCACAAATGCTACTCCCAGTGCACTTGGATAAACCTTTTTTCTTTCAGAAGAGGTGTGCACAGATATCGGGACATATGTTTGTTAAAGTTACTAGCCACTTACCGGTGTAGATAGAGCAGCAGTTGCATACATGCGTAAATGGCAGGTCAACGGTGGTGCTGGTTGTCACTCAAGTTACTTGGAGAAGAAACACAGAATCCGGATACGCGTAGGGCAACTACTATGCAGCGGTACACGTGGACCAGAAATAATGAGTGATATATTATCCAGGTCATGAACTCATCTTTAGACATAAGGGAAACAATAAATAACGGGGTGGTTGAGGGACCGAGTATAGTCCTATGGCCTTCCATTTCAATGCTGCATTTGCAGTGGCACAAGTTATTCGCGACTGCGGTTGGGTTTAGTCTTGTAACAGTGAGTGAGTTTTATTTCCCCTTGGACGCATATTTCTGCCCAGTATGTCAGACATGATACACACAGTGCAGGTGTTGACAAGGTAAGGACCGCTTCGACGTCATCAAATTGACTGGCAGTTTTAGGTGACTGCTGACCGTCCTTGATAAAAGCGTGTTACTAAGTCATGAAGATGTTACTAAGCGTACCGAACGGTTCAATTCGGAAACGGGTTGTGAATGTGCCACTGTGCAGTATAGGTCGTGAACGCTAACGCAAACCACTCCAATTTTACCAACGGGTTGCTTGTGGTGACGGAAGTGGGGACATGCGCGATTCAACTGTGGATCACAGCAGCGTGATAAGTCGTCAAATCATGCTAATTCTACAGTACACTTTATGCACCCATGATGAGTGAAGAATCCGCCACAACACACACAACACCAATAACGTAGATAAAATTAATGAACTTATTGCAAACGAATACGGGGCTTCAACCATTTAAAATGTGACAGACATGATATCACCGAGTCAGTTTTGTCATCAGCATCTGTTGGAATAATGTTTGATCCCAATAACAACGTGACAAATATGAAACAACTGAGGTACACCAAGCCTGTGAGCGAGCATAAATGACTTTGCACGTTTGTCTGGTTGAAGAAATCTAGCTACATGCTGCCAATGCGCCGAGGAGGGTGTGATTGGCATGAGTGGGTCTATTACACGTCAGATATTCACGTGGATAAATCGACCGAATAGAATTATGCCAGTGCATTCCATCGTTGAAATACTGCTACACGGAGCAAGATGCTTCGGTCATGCTTATTCGAACTTAAATTGCTGTTGGTGTGCGTGACTGGATCGTGAGTGGAGCAACGAAACCTACCCAGGGATGCATTGTAGTCCCGTTTCTTCCCTGGATATGTCTACGGTGCTGTATTTCTAGAAAGTAAGCCCTTATTTAACAAGAACGTAGCGGCAAGAAGATACTAGCATATTTTACGCGAGTACGCGCACATATGTCGAGTATGTTTCCTTCCCACAACGCAAACTACATGGGAAAGTATTACCTGTCACATCCGTAGTTCGTTTCTCTCTAACTTAGTGGGATTTGGCTGTCGTTTCACCCCGTACCTTCTCTTCCATAAATTTTCTTCTTACCAAATTGAAGTTATTCTGAGGCGCTTGATTTAATTGATTGCAGTTCTGTTACTCGGCTGATGATTACTTCTAGATTCACTGACAAAGGCGTTTAAGCCTGGTTGATGGGGCTTTCGACAAATACCCACGCTTTTCTACTTGGTGCAGGTCCGCCACAATTCCTCGCCCGCGATCCGCTCTCCTCTCAATCCGTAGGGCTTGAATTGCGCCGTCTGATCTCTTCCCTGATGCCTTTGCCTGTGTCGGTACTCTCTCGTTATTGTGGTTTGATAGACGTCACCTTAACTACATTTTGCACCACTACAATTAACTGTGAACAGGAGAGTTTCCAAGCTATTTTGGACTTTGGTGTAATGAATTAAGAAGATATTCTTTCTCAACTGAATTGTACTTGGGCCCGCTACAACCATTACTACTCACATGAGTCATGCACAAGCTACTTCGATTCCATTGACCGTGCGTCCAAACGTGTGATATTTTGCTGGGCAGTGATATCAACACACTCAACAGCCCAGCGGAATATTTGATGGGATAAACAGCTGGACACTTCAAAGTCACCGACTCTTCGCAGCTGCGCGTGTATTCAATTAAACAAAGAAAATGAGTTTAGGATTGGAATTTTCATCAGCAGATCTTTAGCCGCAGTCTTGTAAGGTGATGACTAGAACTGTCGGCCATTTTCCATGACGTCTGTGATCAGAATATTTAACACGTAACTTTGACTATGCTATATATACAGGAACTATACAAATAAATGCACTGAATTTAAACGGTTGTAAATTGACCTAACAATAAGTCCTTAGTTTTAACCAACTAAATTGTAGCGAAACTGGCAACACTGATTATACTTTTCCCAACGTTCATCATCACTTTTGGAGGTGCAACTACACGTATTGACCTGGTTTTAGTAATCGAGTGAATCAAATACATCAAACCCTGTACTTTTGTGTATTTAATGTTTTTTCATCCTTATATCTAAACGGTGCATGTTACAAGTTAGAACAAATGCCATTGGTGTAGTACTATTTTTGCAAACTTCTACCTCACAATTCAAATACTACGGTGCTCGAAAATTAAAACTATGTGAATTTTTTCTGGAAAAATAACCAGCTATTTCTGCACCGATAAGTATATGTGTGAACAAATCGTAACCACAAAAGCAAAATTACTTCTGCTGGCAAACTGAAAGGTGCTTCATTGTAATTTATCAGCTGGTTCTCATCGGCTAATACTACAGTTCACGCAAAACACTATCTGGTTGCAAATGGAAGTTATAGGGAAGCTGTACCTACAGAGAACATTGAGTCTTGGAAAGGTAACTTTTCCCTTCCGTCGTTGTGGTGCATTTAACTTATCCTGTATGGGACAAAATGATTGTTATAACAAAAACTCTCTATTAGGTTTAACTAATCAAAGGGGATTAATGTTCCGTCGGTGTTACTGTACCTACTAATTTCAAATTTAGTAGTGCCCTCAAATAAAAGGTGTGTTCCTCCACGGTGCAAAGCACAATCCAACTGAGTAGTCTGATCAATTGGTGTAATGTAATTGTCAATTTGTACCACCAAATTTCTATGGTTTGTCTGTTTCTATGGAAATATGTTGGATATTTTACCTAATATAATTGTCACCAGACTGTTTTATTCAACGTTAAAACACTAATGTATTGTACTTCATCTTCATTGAGTTAGTCAGTTTTCCCATCCAGCGGGATGAGCTAAATTCAACCTTGTTAAACTGCCAAACTTTATAAACCAAACTTTATAAACTTTATAAATCCAAAAAGATGAAGTTGTTCGCACCTCTGACAAGTGGCAAGACTAGAGTGGTTTGCTGCTGACTTTTTACTATATCGGAACAATAATTACTCAGAAGAACTACGACCACATAAAGGTTGAATTTGTGACGTGCACATCTATTTATACGTATTTCAAGTAGGGTTACTCCGAAGGGTAATGAGGATTTATAGTATAAACTGCGTCCTTTCTTGTTCCGAAGATCCCGTTGTTAATTTTGTATTGAACAAATCAGCATTTTTCGTGTCTAACCGACGTATCCGGTCTCCTGCTCTTTGCATCTACAGGATATGTCGTTTAAGGAGAAACACTGGCATGAGAAATGCTTCCACTGCAGTATGTGCAATCTATCCTTGGCAGACAAACCATTCACCATCAAGGATTCCATTCTGTACTGCTCGGATTGCTACGACGAGAAATTTTCTCCTCGCTGTGCTGGATGCAAAAAGATTATTAAGGCCGGATCCAAAATGTATGAGTACAAGGGTTCCACTTGGCACGAAGAGTGTTTCACTTGTATTGAATGTAAACAGCCGATTGGCACGAAAAGTTTTGTTCCAAAGGACAATGGCGTTATCTGTATGCCATGTTACGAAGAGAAGTATTCACAGAGATGTTTCAAGTGCACCAAAGTAAGAAACCTATGTACTGCTTCAAAATTTGAGGGGGAGCCATAATGCGTTCTGCAGGGCCAGTAATTCTAATTCACCTGTTGGTTGGCATGACTATATTAATATAAGCTAAGAATACTACACCCAGTTAGATGAGTCAAAAGATTTCGCCTGGAAACTTTGATAACATTAAGCGCTTGATTTCATAATTAACCATTCAGCTTTGTACATGTAGGCTTATTCAATTTGTCAGCGAATGCAAAACTACAATCACATTTATCGTCACAGTATAGGTAATATATTGCGCGCATTGGTGGATGTATTTTCGCAGAATAGCAAATCTTAAGAAGGATAAGTTACTCTTAGTATGTAGCTGCATTGATATTGCGTTTTCGGCGGTCAGTTTGGTTAGCATTCTTATTTGCATCCGTCAATGTTTCTTCAGGGGCACGCACTCAATTTTGTCTTTATTTTATAACAGTTCAAGTCACAAACCAACCGGCAAATAAGCCTTTTACGGATGCTCGTCTAGCACTATTGGATGCATTTATCATAATACTCCTAGCTTAGAGCATCTTGTGTCTAATGTGCACCTGTCAGGTTATAGAAGTCCATTGATGGCATCATCGAGGCTTTATATTGCAAACTAAAGTTTGATTTCCTACCAGCTGACGCTGGTAAATTCTTAGTTAGTAGATCTGACATTATAACATGCACACGTCTCTAGAATTATTGCAAATTCTTACTTTGGTGGATTAATTAGAAAAGCTCTTATAAGCTGTGCTCTATACTGATTCGCTTAATACTCGAGTTGGCTGTTTAGCTATATCACCTTACGTTACACTTGCGAGGAATGGTTACTACCAACTGATCCCTAGATACAAAGTAATTTTCCAGAAAAGTAAATCATGGTTCTTTCAGGAAAAGTAAAAGGGTAGCGGCTTAGCTTAACACATTTTTTATGTCTGCAGTTTTTGGTGGTATTTCTTAATGACAGCCAGCTAGGTCTTGGTTAATCTGTGCAGTCCTGGGTAGCTGACCAGCCCTAAGATCTAATGAGCTCTTGCATTGAGAGAGGTTTGGAGACAACCGGTTTAGGAAATTGTTGAGCAACGTGTCACTTCAGGAACAAAAGCTTCATAAAGTCGAGTGAATTAGTGTACAGTTGATCTGACGTTTCCTTGGGAACTTGATCCATTATAGTAATAAATGGATCTTGCGTCATAGTGTTATCACAATCACTGGTCGGGATGTCATCTCAAGTGTTTTCATCTACATCGGCAATGATCCGGGTATTCCCTCGTGCATAATTGCATTGATGGATAAATCCTTGGTGGTAGCAATGGAGAGTGGATGTCCGTTTTTCAACCGGGTCTTTTCTAATGGTCACAAATTCCACTTTCTTCCTAAAACCGGTAGCTGTTCCCTGTTGAACGACCTTAGGACCGTGTGTGAGTCACACAAACAGCAAAACTAGAGAATGCTTCGGACCAACTTAGGCACATATTGCAGTTTGAAATATAGACAAGCCTTAGCGAATTGTCTGCTGTTCCTATTTAAAGCAAGCCACTGTCAGCCCTCTTCGAAAACACTACCTCACTTTCAAGGAAGAGTATAGCAACATTTCAGCTGGGAAATGATTAATGATCTAAAGTAAGTTCTCAGCGCCATTGCGCAGTGTCAGTCACGCTGAGTCGGTTATCCCGGTTGCGGCAGCGAACGTGTGCAAGCATCACTCATCCTTATCCGACACATAATTGGTCAGAAATTATCGTTGCTGAAGTGGTTTAGGGCGAAACTTAGCATTTTACATATAAGGACAATAAACCTTGCACTTGGTATTGCTATTCAGCTAACAAACAGTAACAAATGAAAGAAATCATAATTCTTTCAAGATATGTGGAGAGATTGCGCAGCAGTTATTCATCCTGTACTGTTAAGAAAATGCTACTTCCATATTAGCTGCGTCCCCCAAAATAGAATAAATTTGTTTGCGTAATGATAGCTCGTCGGTAGGCCATCGAAGGCTAGTAGATTGATTAGCACTGTACTCTACCTTGTGTCGGCCAGATTTTGTGTGTCAATATACTTTGGGTTTGTAAATGAATTGAAAACGACTTTCCCTATCCACCTAATTGTGGCACCCGCTCCATTAACGGCATTTAGCAGGAATCGCACTGGAGAAAGTAGTAACATTATTTTGAACACATGTACTATTCTTTAGGTGACGCATTCAACTTCCGGACATTGAGAGAATGCAGTTAGCGCATGTAGCGACTGAAGATGGTATCGCGCGAGCTTACAATAGAATCACGTAAACTTTGAAAACTACTGTATAATTTTAAAAATCACGGTCATAAAACACTGCTTTTGGATCATTCTTTATGAATGTACGGCGTTTCTAATGACTGACCCTATTGTAAAATAATTGGTGAAAAATCCTGAAGTTTGCTACGACTGGATGCATTAGTTTACTAATGGTACAGAGTTCAAAACAGCGCTAAAAGAAGCATGGGTTCTGGAATGCCACGTGTTTTTTGAGTTAATTTAAGTTTATTCGTTTTAAATATGGATTGCATTGAAGCAAACATACTTTTAACTTCTGAACTGAGGTCATTTCGAACGTTGCTGGGTTAAAGCACCGTACCGTACCATACATTTTTGTATTAGCTTTACCATTCGATACGGAAAATTGTACCCAGTAGTCGTCTTCACCAACAAGTTACCAAGAGTCCCCAGTAAAACTCATCAGATCTCAGAGATACACTTCAGATGCTTTGTGTCAAAATTAATGCAATTTCTGCTAACTGAGTTCAGGAATGTAAATGCCTGGAAATCACTCTTCTGTTAAGTAACCACACCTGCTGATTCATACCATAATTTGGGATACATAAATAGCTTTTCTTAAACAGGTGCGTTAATGGGTTTCTTGCAACCGCTTCACTTTTAAGGCCTGGAAGGCTTTATGTTTTCGCATCAACATGATACAAAGGCCATAAATATTTACCATACTGGAATGACGCCTGAAAAACATGGGTTCTCTGCCGTTCATGCAAATGTTCTCCTGCTACCTCTTTGGCCTGGATCAAATGCGTTTAGTTTCATCAGCTCAGTTGTTACTGCACTTTGCAAGGGATCCAGCTGGTAAAGCATGAAAAGTCAGGGTATATTTCCGCGACAATTGAGCACGGTTTAGACTAATAGTCATCCAAAATTGCACGCCTTTTCCCACCCCATAGTCAACAACCTATAGTTGTATAATACTCCTTGAAATAGGAATTGCTGTATCTACAGCAAAACTGAGTTACTACTATTTAACATATAGCTATCAGTTACACTTTATTAGTAGTGATTGTCGCTTGCATTTGAAATGGGCTCACTTGACACTGGCTGCTTCCTTCGAAACCCTTGAAACAAACCTACAGTTGAATGAATTCGGTTGACCTCTAAAAACCCCATTCGCGTCTCCATCGCGTAACTGTTCTAGACCGTTTTTCTTAAAGTGCAGTTGCGTACCAAGATATTACGAGAGCTGAAGTATCTATTACCTGGCACTGGATGCCGGAACAGGCTTAACGCAATCGGCTACCGAATACATATTTATGAACCTAGCAACTTGTCTATATTATTTTATTTTTCATCACGTACTATTCACCCGATTAATCATTAAATGTTGTTGCTGACTGTACATGTAGCTGTGATCCTAGTCAATACAGTCAAAAATAATAGGACCCAGATCGCTTTTGAAACAGTGTAAATAGTGTTGGAATACGTCGCTGGACAGCTAATATGAAAGGTCTTAATACGCTAAGGCTCTTGCGAAATAATTCTGAAGGAGAGTAGGAATAGTAGGCAGAATACTCATGGGAAATTACTTTCACTAATTACTGTGGAAACTAAGAGGCCGCATTGCTTGCACGACTAAAGTTGGTGAAAAATGGATTGGCTCGTGGCGTGTAAATTTTGGACCTTACTTCCATAGCGTAGATCTCGATACTTTCGTATTCTTGAAATTAGTTCTCGTGATTTGTCAGGCGTGTGTCTTACTTCCTGCTTGTGCCACGTGCGTAGCTCCTGTTCTGCTGGGCAGGTTCCCATGGGTATTGACAATCTCGTGGATATCATGTGCATGATAACAGAACCATCGATATAACGTGAGCTAAAGCTCAATTGTGCACTAGGAACACTAAGCTACACTCGAGGAAACCCGTTTTGTTAGGCTTTGGGTAGGGCTGTTACCTATCTGGCGCCATCTTCAGTTACATCTACACAAAATATTTTACGAAAAATCTTCATTTACGCAGACCACAATGTAAGATTTGTTTGTTACTTGCCTCTGCCGCTCTCCATAGTGAGATTCATGAAACTTAAGCTGGATTTCGTCGAAATGGTGAATGCATCGATCACTTTACGTCACTTATTGAAACAATCATACTTACATTGGCGACCCACTGCAGTCGTGTTTCTTGACATGGAAAGTACCTTCGATTCGTTTGATTGATATACTTTGTGGGATTGTCTGAGTAGAAAAAATGTGCCACAGATATATACGTAAACATTATCAGAGCGTCTTACGAGCGTACGTCAGGCAGATTAGCCAACTGGCTGAAGCCATTACATAAGTAACGTTAAGTCCAGTATTTTCAGTCATTGCAATTCTACTGACTGAAGTTACAGTGTGTCAATTCGATGCTTCCTATGATCCGCGCCTCGGTGCACGCTACTAACGAGTACTGCAATGAATAAATTGAAACATTACTACTGCTTTTAAGAAAATTGCATAAATGACCGACCGCGATCGGCTCTGACACAGATCGAAGCCGCCGAATGAAGATAACTGCTGTGCAACTACTATAAATTGCCGCGACAAAGGGTTGGATGACGTATTTTGACAGTTATCCATCGCTTATACTTGTGGATGTGTAACGAAACCACCTTACCAGCCTTCGAGTGATGTACCAATTTTCAAGGCATTACCTGCATACTGTACTGATGGGTATATTTCCCATCAAGTGAGAAACTGCGTCCCTGTTTGATACAGTATGTACTTGTACCGCTACAAACAACTTGTTGTATGAGGAATGCGAAATTTTTTGAATAGCTTTACCTGCGTGTATTTTTAGTAAGGGTGTCACGGAATACCGACTACTTATTTCCATGAAAATAAGTCATAGTGTGCTCAAAGTAAGCCCAACTCTTCATTACTCCGTACAGTACATGCCCTTCGCCTTCTTTTCATCTGCATTACGTACTATAGCCAATCATAAAGGATGGAGTTACTTACAAAGGTCGGCCATGGCACAAGGCCTGTTTCCTCTGCGTGAACTGCAGCAAAGAGCTATCTGGTCAGAAATTCACTTCAAAGGACGAGCAACCATATTGTGCTGAATGTTACACTCAGTTATTCGCAAAGCGCTGCAACAAGTGTGCAAAACCAATAAGCAGTAAGTTTTCATGCCAACCGTTAAGAAAACAAGCTCTACTTTGAACTCTGCTTTCATCCGCCAGTATTCATTTTGCTGTTATTTCTGGAAACAGCCTTATTCACCGGGTAACGGAGTGTATCATAATTCCTTCCCTTTAGTAAACGATAGTTTTTGATGTCTACTACACTACCCGCTCACAAGCTACATAGGACAATAGCTCAATGGTTCACCGTTACCACTTTCTTAGGTAAGTAGTCTTTTCCAACAACGACTCCAGAGTTCTAGAGGATACTATCAATACAGAACTCAATGAAAGCACTATTCATAGTGCCGCACCTAAACTGGCTAGCAAGTGCACTCGTTTATTTGATGGCTACCATTCAGTGCACGAATAATACCTCACTTTTAGCTAGAAATTTTGAGGTCAAAACTATTTCCGGCTCTAGGTACTCAGAGGCGAAGGCAGCTGTAAAAATGTACTCATACACTCGTACACCTTTGACTGGCGGACGATACAATCGGGGCAGTGGGCCACAAAATCTACGGTCCGCGTTTGTGCACAGTACGTCGATTTGACAACTCCAAGTGTCAAACTTCCAACGATGACAGTTAAGAAATTCAGTATAAGCTGCCAGAGGGTAACCTGAAAATAACTTGAAATATATAATGTTTCCATACCAACTCGAAATATACTTTGACTCAAAATATAATAAATGTCTTATGGAGATATAGTAACAAGTGTAATAACCAGCTCAATTTACTTGGGTTGGCTTTACCATCATACACTCAGAACTCAAGTAAACAATATACAAGGTTAAGTAGAGGGATGGTCATATGTTACGAGCCCGAAAACACTGCATTCTATGACCGGTTCCTAATTTATTTGATCTCATCAAGAAGAGATAACGGGCTTCGAACTGGAGCTATTGGGAAGTTAGTCAAAACATGAAGTTTTTTAGCCTAACACTCTCGACTGGCAACGGTTTTCACAACTTTAAATGACTGACTGGATGATCATTTTAAAGCACTCGTTTTGTGAATGTATTAGGACGCGCAATTTCGATGCAAACCAAGATTTGCAATAAAGTTAACCTTGGTCAGTTCGATCACTGGGACAGTAAATGCAACAAAGGGATGCAACAATGGGATGTTAGGTTTGGCCACCCGGAAAACACGGCACTGTGTGGCCCGTTCCAAACTTATTTGACCTTGTCAGGTAGCAATAGCAACCATCGATCCCGAGATCTTTGGGGGGTTAGTTGGGACCTTTACCTCTTTAGCCAACTATTCGAGACGGGTAGCGTTTGTCCAAACTGTTAACGACGGAATGGAGGGTCTTTTGAAAGCACTCGTTGTGTGAATGAGTTGTGACGAGCAGATTGCAATGTTTTGGGTACTGTAGTTGATTGGTAACCATAAATAAAGTAGCTTTTTGGTGGGCTGTTCTTTCCAATGTTCATCAACCGCTATTCTTATTTACTTTTAGGAAGTAGCAAACAAAAAATGTTAGAAAAATGTCCCTTGACTATTAAAAATTACGAGTCACTTTGCTGCTTGAAAGAGTCCGGCGGCACTCAACTCCGTTTTAGTAGCTTTATGGACGTTTAAAAACCGACCATAATCTGGTGTTTATGCTAGATATTTACCTGCGCTTTTGGAACACGACCGGGTAACAATGACCTAGGTGATGTGTAAATCAACCTAAAATAAGTATTCGCATAAAATGTCCAAATGCATCGGAAGATAGGTGCCATTGTTGCAAGCGAATGTATAAATGGAGCAAAAATTGAGTTGTAAGCTACCCACTGACCGACATCAGGAAGGATACCCTTGCTTACATAATCCATGGGTGGCTTAGAGTTTGTTAGCCAGTAGATTACAGGCCACTAAAGTTGTTTTTTGGGCACAATACCTTTAACTTCTTGTGGGCACAGGCAATGGAAGCTTCTACCTTCGGAGGTGATGCTAAAAAATGTATACAGGCATGTTCACAAACACGGCCTGTAAAATGACAGAGTATGAATCCAAATAAATTGAATGAATGCTGTCCAACACATTATTTTGGCCAGTGTGGGTAGTACTCACATGAAAACTTTAGCCAGATGAATAGGTGATCCATTACTAGTAAACTTGTCTTTTCGTACAGAGATAACTTGGAAATAATGTTGACAGGTTCGGCTAGGAAAATCACACTGAATATTTAGAACTCGGATTTTACCGATAGCAAATACCAAGATAAACTCGAAGGTTGAGGATCGAGACTACCAACTAGTACGTTTGCGTTTGCCAAAGAGCTGACACAATGTAAACTTAGCATGCATGCGAGGATGTACCTCGTAAAATTCGACCCAGCAAAAGGCTTGCAGATCTAGGGTCTCGGCTGTCCCAAAGTAGAGATCAAAGTAATTGCAACACAGTACGAAATATCCAATGGATGATGAATTTCAGGCAGGTCGATCAAAAAAATGTGTAGGCCTCATAGTTGGTTACCACAGCATCTACACTTGCGGTTGTTAGTTGATTGAATCTGGTGCCGATAAATTAGTCTCCTTTGCGGGTTTTACAGAAGCAGATGACTTGTTACTCGCGGTAATTCAGGTTACTTTTAGGGATACTCGCGAATATAGTGTGTAGCCAACGAATTTGGTTGGGTTCTTTTCTTGGTGGCTCGCCTAGGGTAGGTAAATGCTTGATAACTAATTTTGTTGATAGATTTGATAATCTTTCAATCTAGCACAGGTTTACACTACATAAAAGAGACCACGCCCTTTAACAACGGTTTGTCCATGTAGGGTTTCTGCAAATACCGTGGGCACTTTTGAACTTCTGCGGCGCATATGAGCATTCGCGCACTTGTTTCATGGGCACTTTTGTTGTTAACTGGCTACAGATTACGTAAGAGAAGTGTACACTTATGGCAGCGCCTTTCCATTCCGGCTTTCCAATCAGATGGTCCGTACGAATTATTCGCTTTATAAAGAAGGCACTAATAATTGTATTTCTTCAACCAACTGCCCTTGCATAAGCTATGGGCCAGTATAGTTTCGCTTCCAAAATATTTGTCCTCCAATACTTATCGGCCGCCAAATAAAATAGAACGTCCGCGTTGACGGCGCACTTCGCTTCTGCATTTGCGAATAACCAGGTGTCTGTTCCGAGTTTGACGTGTTCCGCTTTTACCTAACTCGATAGTCTGCATTGCGGCATTGAAGAGGTAGGTCAACTACTCGCCAACCTTGACGGCACCAAACCTGCCGGACCTGATGGGCTTCACCCACTGGTTCTCAAGCCACTTTCGACCATCTTCTCTCCTGTCGTGACTGACCTTTTCAACAGGTCGCTGTCCGAAGGTTAGTTGTCGGTTGACTGGAAATGTTCGGTTGTGAAGCCTATAACGAAAGACAGCGATCCTAGCAAAGTAGACAACTACAGGTCAATTTGTCTGACACCAATTTTGGCAAAGGTTGCTGAGAAAATCGTGAAGAAGATCTTGCTGCCGTTGTTGCAGTCAAACGAGGTTCTGACGCCCGCACAGCACGGTTTTATGCAAGGTCACTGATGCATTACTAACCTGCTTGTGACGAGGCATGAGTGGTTGAAGGCAATAAACAAGGGGAAGTCCGTCGACGTGATATTCATCGATTTCAGTACAACCTTCGGTAAGGTCAACCATGAGGTTCTCCTTCACAAACTCATAATGTGTGGTGTCGGTGGCTCACTGCACCGGTGAATCCGCGAGTTTCTTGTTGGACGCAAGTGGACGGTACAGGTCAACAACCATATAACTGATTGGTACCCCTCTACAAGTGGCGTGCCTTAAGGCATTGTGCTGGGGCCCACTCTGTTCCTGATCCACATCAACTATCTACCGCAGCTTCTCTAGTCACTGTGTGCCTTGTTTGCGGACGACATGAAGATTTGGAGAGAAATTGACGCTCCCGATGACTGTGGCCCACTTCAGCAAGACCTCAACCGCCTATCTACATGGTCGGCAGAAGTTCTTCTCCCGATCAACCCAGCCAAGTCTGTATTTATGAGCCTGGGGAAGGGTGCTGACGACCGAACCTACACCCTTGACGATCAGCCGCTATATCCCACACCCTCCGTGAAGGACCTAGGTGTACTCTCACGCTACGAGTTGAAGTCCGTGGACAACAGGAACAGGCTATATCGGAACGGACTACGCATGCTTTGGGCGTTCAAACGTAGCTTCGGCACATGGTCTAAAGAGGTTGCCACTCGCCTCTTCTCTTCCATCATTAGACCAATGCTAGATTACGGTTCCCCCGCCTACTTTCCGATTACCCGAGGCGAGACACAAAAGATCGAATGGGTCCAACACGTTGCTACCAGGCTCATCCTGAGTTTACATGGCTCGGGGTATAAAGACCGGCGCGAGAAACTAGGACTCTACACCTTGTCCTACCGCCGAATGCGAGTCGACCTCATTATGACCTACCGTATTCTACATCTCGATGACTTCCCAATGCTAAGGCCAATGCTGCACTTAAGAGGGCCATGCAGCGCACGTGGACACAGATACAAACTTGTTGTGCCGGATGTGAAATATGTTCCCCCGCACTGTGCTTCGAACAGAGAGTGGTAAACATTTGGAACAGTTTACCTGAACACGTGATTGAGGCAACATCTGTGCAGCAGTTCAAAACATTGTTAGATTTATATTTTACCACTGTTCGATTCAGAGAACGATTGCACACTTACGATGACACATCATATTTGTGAGTCCTGAAATATCGTAAGTCAGATATTTTAAATGTTACAGGAGAACGAAAACGATATTCACGGTTGACAACTTTTATAAATTTTTTCACCATATTTCGAAAGAGTTGTACAGAATTCATTTTTACTTGCTCTATAATACAGTATTAAGTGTTACATATTAAGGTTTCAAGATTAAACACTATCACTCCTTCCTTGCTTGTTTCCTTTCTCAACTCAACGGTCAACGGGACATCCCTTGCCGATTCACTTTTACTTTCTGTCGACTGCGCAGTTTA